GGGAAGTGAGGGGACTATGACACCACGTGGGGATCTCCCGCGGCAATATAACCTGCGGTGTAACTACAGCAGTAAGGTGAGATCACCCAGGGAGAGTGAGGGGACTATGACACCACGTGGGGATCTCCCGCGGCAATATAACCTGCGGTGTAACTACAGCAGTAAGGTGAGATCACCCAGGGAAGTGAGGGGACTATGACACCACGTGGGGATCTCCCGCGGCAATATAACCTGCGGTGTAACTACAGCAGGAAGGTGAGATCACCCAAGGAAGTGAGGGGACTATGACACCACGTGGGGATCTCCCGCGGCAATATAACCTGCGGTGTAACTACAGCAGTAAGGTGAGATCACCCAGGGGAAGTGAGGGGACTATGACACCACGTGGGGATCTCCCGCGGCAATATAACCTGCGGTGTAACTACAGCAGTAAGGTGAGATCACCCAGGGAAGTGAGGGGACTATGACACCACGTGGGATCTCCCGCGGCAATATAACCTGCGGTGTAACTACAGCAGTAAGGTGAGATCACCCAGGGAAGTGAGGGGACTATGACACCACGTGGGGATCTCCCGCGGCAATATAACCTGCGGTGTAACTACAGCAGTAAGGTGAGATCACCCAGGGAAGTGAGGGGACTATGACACCACGTGGGATCTCCCGCGGCAATATAACCTGCGGTGTAACTACAGCAGTAAGGTGAGATCACCCAGGGGAAGTGAGGGGACTATGACACCACGTGGGGATCTCCCGCGGCAATATAACCTGCGGTGTAACTACAGCAGTAAGGTGAGATCACCCAGGGAAGTGAGGGGACTATGACACCACGTGGGGATCTCCCGCGGCAATATAACCTGCGGTGTAACTACAGCAGTAAGGTGAGATCACCCAGGGAAGTGAGGGGACTATGACACCACGTGGGGATCTCCCGCGGCAATATAACCTGCGGTGTAACTACAGCAGGAAGGTGAGATCACCCAAGGAAGTGAGGGGACTATGACACCACGTGAGGATCTCCCGCGGCAATATAACCTGCGGTGTAACTACAGCAGTAAGGTGAGATCACCCAAGGAAGTGAGGGGACTATGACACCACGTGGGGATCTCCCGCGGCAATATAACATGCGGTGTAACTACAGCAGTAAGGTGAGATCACCCAGGGAAGTGAGAGGACTATGACACCACGTGGGGATCTCCCGCGGCAATATAACCTGCGGTGTAACTACAGCAGTAAGGTGAGATCACCCAGGAAGTGAGGGACTATGACACCACGTGAGGATCTCCCGCGGCAATATAACCTGCGGTGTAACTACAGCAGTAAGGTGAGATCACCCAGGGAAGTGAGGGGACTATGACACCACGTGGGGATCTCCCGCGGCAATATAACCTGCGGTGTAACTACAGCAGTAAGGTGAGATCACCCAGGGGAAGTGAGGGGACTATGACACCACGTGGGGATCTCCCGCGGCAATATAACCTGCGGTGTAACTACAGCAGTAAGGTGAGATCACCCAGGGGGAAGTGAGGGGACTATGACACCACGTGGGGATCTCCCGCGGCAATATAACCTGCGGTGTAACTACAGCAGTAAGGTGAGATCACCCAGGGAAGTGAGGGACTATGACACCACGTGGGGATCTCCCGCGGCAATATAACCTGCGGTGTAACTACAGCAGTAAGGTGAGATCACCCAGGGAAGTGAGAGGACTATGACACCACGTGGGGATCTCCCGCGGCAATATAACCTGCGGTGTAACTACAGCAGTAAGGTGAGATCACCCAGGGAAGTGAGGGGACTAGGACACCACGTGGGGATCTCCCGCGGCAATATAACCTGCGATGTAACTACAGCAGTAAGGTGAGATCACCCAGGGAAGTGAGAGGACTATGACACCACGTGGGGATCTCCCGCGGCAATATAACCTGCGGTGTAACTACAGCAGTAAGGTGAGATCACCCAGGGAAGTGAGGGGACTATGACACCACGTGGGGATCTCCCGCGGCAATATAACCTGCGGTGTAACTACAGCAGTAAGGTGAGATCACCCAGGGGGAAGTGAGGGGACTATGACACCACGTGGGGATCTCCCGCGGCAATATAACCTGCGGTGTAGCTACAGCAGTAAGGTGAGATCACCCAAGGAAGTGAGGGGACTATGACACCACGTGGGGATCTCCCGCGGCAATATAACATGCGGTGTAACTACAGCAGTAAGGTGAGATCACCCAGGGAAGTGAGAGGGACTATGACACCACGTGGGGATCTCCCGCGGCAATATAACCTGCGGTGTAACTACAGCAGGAAGGTGAGATCACCCAAGGAAGTGAGGGGACTATGACACCACGTGGGGATCTCCCGCGGCAATATAACCTGCGGTGTAACTACAGCAGTAAGGTGAGATCACCCAGGGAAGTGAGGGGACTATGACACCAGGTGGGAATCTCCCGCGGCAATATAACCTGCGGTGTAACTACAGCAGTAAGGTGAGATCACCCAGGGAAGTGAGAGGACTATGACACCACGTGGGGATCTCCCGCGGCAATATAACCTGCGGTGTAACTACAGCAGTAAAGTGAGATCACCCAGGGAAGTGAGGGGACTAGGACACCACGTGGGGATCTCCCGCGGCAATATAACCTGCGATGTAACTACAGCAGTAAGGTGAGATCACCCAGGGAAGTGAGAGGACTATGACACCACGTGGGGATCTCCCGCGGCAATATAACCTGCGGTGTAGCTACAGCAGTAAGGTGAGATCACCCAAGGAAGTGAGGGGACTATGACACCACGTGGGATCTCCCGCGGCAATATAACATGCGGTGTAACTACAGCAGTAAGGTGAGATCACCCAGGGAAGTGAGGGGACTATGACACCACGTGGGGATCTCCCGCGGCAATATAACCTGCGGTGTAACTACAGCAGTAAGGTGAGATCACCCAGGGGGAAGTGAGGGGACTATGACACCACGTGGGGATCTCCCGCGGCAATATAACCTGCGGTGTAACTACAGCAGTAAGGTGAGATCACCCAGGGAAGTGAGGGGACTATGACACCAGGTGGGAATCTCCCGCGGCAATATAACCTGCGGTGTAACTACAGCAGTAAGGTGAGATCACCCAAGGAAGTGAGGGGACTATGACACCACGTGGGGATCTCCCGCGGCAATATAACCTGCGATGTAACTACAGCAGTAAGGTGAGATCACCCAGGGAAGTGAGGGGACTATGACACCACGTGAGGATCTCCCGCGGCAATATAACCTGCGGTGTAACTACAGCAGTAAGGTGAGATCACCCAGGGAAGTGAGGGGACTATGACACCACGTGGGGATCTCCCGCGGCAATATAACATGCGGGGTAACTACAGCAGTAAGGTGAGATCACCCAAGGAAGTGAGGGGACTATGACACCACGTGAGGATCTCCCGCGGCAATATAACCTGCGGTGTAACTACAGCAGGAAGGTGAGATCACCCAAGGAAGTGAGGGGACTATGACACCACGTGAGGATCTCCCGCGGCAATATAACCTGCGGTGTAACTACAGCAGTAAGGTGAGATCACCCAGGGAAGTGAGGGGACTATGACACCACGTGGGGATCTCCCGCGGCAATATAACCTGCGATGTAACTACAGCAGTAAGGTGAGATCACCCAGGGAAGTGAGAGGACTATGACACCACGTGGGGATCTCCCGCGGCAATATAACCTGCGGTGTAGCTACAGCAGTAAGGTGAGATCACCCAAGGAAGTGAGGGGACTATGACACCACGTGGGGATCTCCCGCGGCAATATAACATGCGGTGTAACTACAGCAGTAAGGTGAGATCACCCAGGGAAGTGAGAGGACTATGACACCACGTGGGGATCTCCCGCGGCAATATAACCTGCGGTGTAACTACAGCAGGAAGGTGAGATCACCCAAGGAAGTGAGGGGACTATGACACCACGTGAGGGATCTCCCGCGGCAATATAACCTGCGGTGTAACTACAGCAGTAAGGTGAGATCACCCAGGGGGAAGTGAGGGGACTATGACACCACGTGGGGATCTCCCGCGGCAATATAACCTGCGGTGTAACTACAGCAGGAAGGTGAGATCACCCAAGGAAGTGAGGGGACTATGACACCACGTGAGGATCTCCCGCGGCAATATAACCTGCGGTGTAACTACAGCAGTAAGGTGAGATCACCCAGGGGGAAGTGAGGGGACTATGACACCACGTGGGGATCTCCCGCGGCCATATAACCTGCGGTGTAACTACAGCAGTAAGGTGAGATCTCCCAGGGAAGTGAGGGGACTATGACACCACGTGGGGATCTCCCGCGGCAATATAACCTGCGGTGTAACTACAGCAGTAAGGTGAGATCACCCAGGGGGAAGTGAGGGGACTATGACACCAGTGGGAATCTCCCGCGGCAATATAACCTGCGGTGTAACTACAGCAGTAAGGTGAGATCACCCAAGGAAGTGAGGGGACTATGACACCACGTGGGGATCTCCCGCGGCAATATAACCTGCGATGTAACTACAGCAGTAAGGTGAGATCACCCAGGGAAGTGAGGGGACTATGACACCACGTGAGGATCTCCCGCGGCAATATAACCTGCGGTGTAACTACAGCAGTAAGGTGAGATCACCCAGGGAAGTGAGGGGACTATGACACCACGTGGGGATCTCCCGCGGCAATATAACATGCGGGGTAACTACAGCAGTAAGGTGAGATCACCCAAGGAAGTGAGGGGACTATGACACCACGTGAGGATCTCCCGCGGCAATATAACCTGCGGTGTAACTACAGCAGGAAGGTGAGATCACCCAAGGAAGTGAGGGGACTATGACACCACGTGAGGATCTCCCGCGGCAATATAACCTGCGGTGTAACTACAGCAGTAAGGTGAGATCACCCAGGGAAGTGAGGGGACTATGACACCACGTGGGGATCTCCCGCGGCAATATAACCTGCGGTGTAACTACAGCAGTAAGGTGAGATCACCCAGGGGAAGTGAGGGGACTATGATACCACGTGGGGATCTCCCGCGGCAATATAACCTGCGGTGTAACTACAGCAGTAAGGTGAGATCACCCAAGGAAGTGAGGGGACTATGACACCACGTTGGGATCTCCCGCGGCAATATAACCTGCGGTGTAACTACAGCAGTAAGGTGAGATCACCCAGGGAAGTGAGGGGACTATGACACCACGTGGGGATCTCCCGCGGCAATATAACCTGCGGTGTAACTACAGCAGTAAGGTGAGATCACCCAGGGGGAAGTGAGGGGACTATGACACCACGTGGGGATCTCCCGCGGCAATATAACCTGCGGTGTAACTACAGCAGTAAGGTGAGATACTCAGGGAAGTGAGAGGACTATGACACCACGTGGGGATCTCCCGCGGCAATATAACCTGCGGTGTAACTACAGCAGTAAGGTGAGATCACCCAGGGAAGTGAGGGGACTATGACACCACGTGGGGATCTCCCGCGGCAATATAACCTGCGGTGTAACTACAGCAGTAAGGTGAGATCACCCAGGGAAGTGAGGGGACTATGACACCACGTTGTGATCTCCCGCGGCAATATAACCTGCGTGTAACTACAACAGTAAGGTGAGATCACCCAGGGAAGTGAGGGGACTATGACACCACGTGGGGATCTCCCGCGGCAATATAACCTGCGGTGTAACTACAGCAGTAAGGTGAGATCACTCAGGGGGAAGTGAGGGGATTATGACACCACGTGGGGATCTCCCGCGGCAATATAACCTGCGGTGTAACTACAGCAGTAAGGTGAGATCACCCAGGGAAGTGAGGGGACTATGACACCACGTGGGGATCTTCCGCGGCAATATAACCTGCGGTGTAACTACAGCAGTAAGGTGAGATCACCCAAGGAAGTGAGAGGACTATGACACCACGTGAGGATCTCCCGCGGCAATATAACCTGCGGTGTAACTACAGCAGGAAGGTGAGATCACCCAGGGAAGTGAGGGGACTATGAAACCACGTGGGGATCTCCCGCGGCAATATAACCTGCGGTGTAACTACAGCAGTAAGGTGAGATCACCCAGGGAAGTGAGGGGACTATGACACCACGTGGGGATCTCCCGCGGTAATATAACCTGCGGTGTAACTACAGCAGTAAGGTGAGATCACCCAGGGGGAAGTGAGGGGACTATGACACCACGTGGGGATCTCCCGCGGTAATATAACCTGCGGTGTAACTACAGCAGTAAGGTGAGATCACCCAAGAAAGTGAGAGGACTATGACACCACGTGGGGATCTCCCGCGGCAATAAAACCTGCGGTGTAACTACAGCAGTAAGGTGAGATCACCCAGGGAAGTGAGGGGACTATGACACCACGTGGGGATCTCCCGCGGCAATATAACATGCGGGGTAACTACAGCAGGAAGGTGAGATCACCCAGGGAAGTGAGGGGACTATGACACCACGTGGGGATCTCCCGCGGCAATATAACCTGCGGTGTAACTACAGCAGGAAGGTGAGATCATCCAAGGAAGTGAGGGGACTATGACACCACGTGAGGATCTCCCGCGGTAATATAACCTGCGGTGTAACTACAGCAGTAAGGTGAGATCACCCAGGGAAGTGAGGGGACTATGACACCACGTGGGGATCCCCCGCGGCAATATAACCTGCGGTGTAACTACAGGAGTAAGGTGAGAACACCCAATAGAAGTGTATAGGACTATGACACCACGTGGGGATCCCCTGCGGCAAGTCTAACCTGTTATACCATCTCATAGAGGAAATATCATAACGCCCTATAGAGGATATGCCATACCTTCAAATCGAGGATCTATCATTCCGTACCATTTATAATATGTTATATCATTCCATAATAGAGGATCAGCAATATTCTCCCATAGAGGTTCAACCTATCGACCCAAAGAGGAATTTCCATAATCTCCCATAAAAGATCTGTAATGCCCTAGCATAGAGGGTCTGTAAAATCGTCGCATAGAGAATCTTCCATATCGTCCAAAGGAGATTCTGTCATACATTCCCATGAAATTTCTGTGATACCATCCCATAGAAAAATAGATTTATCATAACGTCCCATAAAGAGGATCTACCATACCCTCCCAAAGAGGATCTGTCAAGGGAGGAACAGTCATACCGTCAAATAGTAGATCTGTCATACAGTCCCATACCTTCCCATTGATTATCTACCTTATCTTCTTATTGAGTGTCTGTCAAACCGTCATATTGAGGATCTATCATAACCTTCCCATAATCTATCAGTCATACCCTCTCATTAAGGATTTGTCATACCATCTCATAGCCGATAGGTAATACCTTCATATACAAGATATGTTATTTTCTTCCCATAGGAGATCTGTCACACCGCCCCTTTGGAGAGCTCTCATATCGCCGTGCTTAGCAGATCTGTCATTTCGTCTCATAGAGTATATTTCATACCATCCCATAGATAATCTGTCATACCTTCATATATAGGATGTGTTCTTTACTTCCCATAGGAGATCTGTCACACCATCCCATAGGAGATCTCTCACACCATCCCATGGGAGAACTGTCATATCGCCTTGCTTAGGGAATCTGTCATGACGTTCCATAGAGTATCTGCCATACCATCCCATAGGAGATCTGCTATTCCTTCACACATAGGGGATCTTACACGTAAAGGATATGTCATCCCGCTACATAGAAGATAGGTGTGCCAGTTCAATAGAGAACATAGCATATAAAAATGTCATTGTGTCGCACAGAGGTATTGTTTATCCTGAGAGCTCTCCGAGCTGGGCCTGTGGGACTGAATTGGAAGACTTCAGCTGCGAATTCATTCCTCCAACCTGCGCAATCATCGATCCGTTTGAAGAGGAATTAAAGCGGCAGCGCGGCAGGATTAAGAGTTTCTCAATCAACGTGACTGAAATTAAAAATCGCTGTGAAGAGATTACTTATATTTGTTTTCAATTAATCCGGGCCTAATCCCCCATCAGCGGGAGAAAAATTAAAAACAAGACCAATTCTAATTTGTCCAAGGTTGAAATGAATCAACATGGGCGACATAGCTTTCTTTCTGGAAGATAAAGGAGGAGTTAAATATTTATTGAGGCTTCCGATTTGCTTCAGGCCACATTTGCTACATTCACAACCTACCCAGGATACACGTACCTAACTACAATAACATTTTATTGAACATGATTAAATTTATAGATACAAGTACATGCTTGTACATGCACCTGCAGTGAATGGACACTTCTGTGGCGTTACTCAAATCTGTTTCTATCCATATCGCAGTTTTATTGCCCCAGCCGCCTCAGTTCCCCACTTCCGTATACAGAGAACTCCCATTTATTTTGCTTCCTTTTCTTAATGCATAGCCGAAGTTTCTCTGATGAAATTTTAAATTGTTTATTTCACTATCCAAGAGCATAAAATAATATTCTAATATCAGCCGAGTGATAAACCTTCCTAAAGTTTATAGAGACTTAGTTCGTAGAGAGACAAGTTGACTTAATTGTACTGCTGTATCATGATTTATACGTCTTGTGTGTCAACAAAATTGTAACCTATTGGAAGGAAGTCTTGGCTTTGACACGGCAGTGGAATCCTGGAGTCTAGGAACACCCATGGCTTCAAAGTCTTCTCGACAATCTTCAGTTTGTCTTCCCTAATCTACCCAGCATCTCCACCAAAACGTGACGTAGAAAATTATGGCAAACTTCAGGATGACACAGCAATTTATTTATGGCCAAAACAACTCAATATTCCTAAAATACCAGATAGGCAATGAGGGAAGTTTACATAGTAACAAAAATAAATATCAAAATTAATAAGCATCCATAAAATAATACTTATTTTGCTACAATATTTATAAATATATATGCTGTAATACATTTCAATACGTAATATTCCCATATGTAATATAGTTAGGGAATAACAAAAACTGTAGACACAATCCAACTCGCCAGTTTGGCCATCATGTAACACAAAACGGAATAATAAAATTATATTGAGTGACAGCCGGCGCCCAGACAGGAGAAAGGTCTCCGAATACACCGTCGGTCCGAAAACAGTCGGATTACCGACAGTCTCTCTCTGGCTCTAGAATAGATCAGACCTTCCTCGACGGGCGCCCGGCTGCTATCTCTGAGGTGACATCCAACATGCCTCGTCCTTTTGTGCTGTTCCATTCACGCCTGAAAAAATCTGACCATTGTGGCTACCATGACGACTGCATCTAACCAAACATACTGAAATGTAGATAATTCTCTCCTCACTGTATGACAAGATATCCGAGAGGCAGAGATCCCAGGGTGAAGTTGTGGAAAGATGGATGGACTCCAACAGCTACGGAAGGATGGCCCACATGTGTGTGGGGAGGACAGGACGGCATTCCAATGTGGGGGGGGGGGGGGGGGGGGGAGCAGGACAGACGCAGAGAACAGCGGTGACAACAGACGCGGCAAGTTGGCTACGGGAAGTGGGCTCCGGGTGTGTGGCCGTATGGACTAACCGGGAAGACGGTGACGAGGAGGATCCCTCTGGTGGCGGACAATGAAGACATCTACTGTATATAGTTATTAATCTACTCTTTAAAGCTCTAATAATAAATATACTGTACTAAGCTGTATCTACAAAGAATCCACATTGTTCTCTTAGAAACCTTGAACGCAAACATCGACGGCTGAGAAGCGTCGTTACAATACCATACTAGTCATCAGACAGGATAACCTCATCACCACAGACACCCGACAGGATCATTTGCAATACTATATATGCTGTAATATATTTCAATATATTCTTACATTCCCATGTGTTATATAGTTATAGTGTAATTACCTAAACGACAAAAATAAAATTTCGAGTGAGTGACAGCCGGCGCCAGGAGAGAAAAAAGGTCCGAAAAACATGTCGGGGTACCAGGTGTGCCCCCTTCTTGCTCAAACAGATCAGTCCGCTTTGAGACACGATGATTGACAGACCCCTCTCAACAGATATCCCTGACCGGTGTCGGCTTCACTCTCTCGCCATCTCTGTGGCAACATCCAACATATCTCGTTCTTTGGTGTAATACATTCACACCTGAAACCACTCAGAACATTGAGGCCACAACGACTGCATTTAACCAACACACTACAGTCATCCTACAGGATCGACTACTTTACAACAAATATATATATATGTTGTAATATTAAAAAAAAAGTGGAGTCGACAAGGTCACAGTGGGCTCCTCATCCAACATGCAGTCATGGGCCAGAAGTGGAGGCGCACTAGCCTGAAGACAAATGAAGACCACACGCATGGGAACATGGTTATATCGGTTTAGGGATGGTTCCCGGGAAGGATGAGACTGGGACCGCTCTGGACTACATGACTACTTTCTTGGTGTGTCTGTCTGGGTACTTCCTCATCTGGGTCTCCTTGTCTGGATCTCTTTGTCTGGGCTCAGCCCCAGCTTATATCCTAATTGTGACGTCAGAGGGGGAGGACGTCCAATCAGGGACTGCCATGACTATAAATCTCTCTTGTTTATACTATCTTTCCTGGCTCACCGTCCCTTTCTCTCCCGGGTATCCATTTTATTGAGGCCATTTTGTAGTTACATATGAGTTTGATTTTATATACAACATAACAACATATACAATACGACACAGATATATTCCAGATTATAATATAAATTGTCATTTTGTGATTGAAGTTATATTTAGAAAGAGATTATGTATTATATATCAATATTTTGTATATCTAACTCTCCAATGTGGAACTACTCACCAAATGTTGGATCGAGGACGGATCAATTACGTCAGTAGAGACATGGACTTGGGATCGCCAACTACGAGAGGAAGACGTATGAATATAAATTACTATATAAATAACTATAAATATAAACGAACCAACTTTTAAAGGTAATTATTTCATCATTTACTCATTTATTTATCTTTATTATGGAAACCCGCTCGCAGGAAACGTATACAATTACTAACCTGTCAAGTTTCATTAAAGATTGATATTGTTACACCGGGTTGCAGTTTTGCTGAGTCATTGACCTTGATTTCCTCGTCAGCTGCAATCAAAACCATCACCATCTCTACTTAACAACTCTGAATATTGAAATCTTCGAGATAAACTGTTGGAATACCGTACATTTCGAATATTTCAATTCAATATTAAGATATATCTAGTCTTCTTCTTCTTCTTTCTTATCTCATCCATCATGACTGGGCGAAGTAGAATGCGTCTGCCTTTGTCATTAAGACTGGGAGCACTACTCAGTGGCAGGCCGACTTGGCTCCAAAAGAAATGGCCGCCTCTGACATGAGGAACAGACACCATATGCAGCCGCTCCTAACATGAAGTACAAACGCTGCTCATCCTGTATCCCTGGATCAGGAGCCCTTACAGGGTACTATCAGCCGAGCCAGCTGAGCCCAGGTTTTTTTAGTGAGCTTGTTACTGCTCCCCCTCCTCCTTTTTCATTCAGGCTTGGGACCGGCAATAGGTAAAGATTGGTAATGGTTTTTACGGCAGTAGAGCCACGAACTTGGGATCATCAACTACGAGGAAAAGACATATATGAATAAAATACTAAATAAATATAAATATAAACAAAACAACTTTTAATGTTGATTATTCATCATTTACTCATTTATTTGTCTTTATTATAGAAACCCGCTCGCAGGAAACTTATACAATTACTAACCTGTTAAGCTTCATTAAAGATTGATATTAGAACAACGTTTAATAAGTTTTACCGCAAATGTTTCTTTTTACAGAACGAAAAATCGTAATTTTAATTATTTTAAGGAGAAATAACGACTATTCCTTTCCTTAGGGATGAAGTATAAAAGGGTGAATTGTGAAAAGTAATGATAAACGGAAAAATAAAGTGTCCAGGGATGGGATCTTTCACATTTGTTTTTCCGTTTATCATTACTCTTCACAATTTATCCTTTCATACTTCATCACTAAGGATAGGAATAGTCGTTATTTCTCCTTAAATAATGAAATTACAATTTTTCGCTCTGTAAAAAGAAACATTTGCGGTAAAACTTGTTAAACGTTGTTCTATATGCATAGCCGCATTATATTGTATTAAAGATTGATATTGTTACACCGGGTTGCAGTTTGGCTGAGTCATTGACTTTGATTTCCTTGTCAGCTGCAATCAAAATTATCACCAATCTCTACTAAACATCTCTGAATACTACTAGATAAAACTAGACGCCATCTATTGACCGTCGCCGCAAGCTAGCAGCCTCGGGTCGGTGACAAAGCCACAACACCAGTTTGGAAAACTGAAAAGCGCCCATATAGGAACCATGGTTTCGGGCTAATGGCCCTCGTCAGCCTAGGGCGGACTTTATTCCATGAGATCTACAAGGGATCTAATGGAATCTTGACAATCTGCCAAAGGGATGTAGAGTGGCTGGACCAAATCTATGGCTAAAATATAGATGTAAATTTTGCCAGGAGGATATTGATCTAAAGAGACAAAGGTCGCCTCTCACGTCAAAATAAACTTTAAAACTAGACGCCATATATTGACCTTTGCCGCAAACTAGCGGCCTCATTCCATCTTTGTACCATGATAATCAATATGATGAAGAAACAGGAAAGCTTGCCGTTAGAATGGATTGTAATGTGACTAAATAAGCTGTGGATATACAGTGGAACATCCCTGTAAAAGACACCTAATTGCAGAGTCAAAGTGTCCTTTAGGGAGAGGTGTCTTCTTACCAGAGAGTTGCTAAATAGTAAAAATGGCAATTTTGTAAATGAAAACTGTCCTTTATAGAGAGGTGTCCGCTAGCGCGAGTGTCCTCTCATGGAATTTCTACTGTACAATTGAACAAATGGCATTTAAATTATCCAAAATTTGATATAGATGATGTCCATTAGCGCTTTTTATTTTATATTGCAGCATTGAAATCATACGTCATCTTCCACTATCAAATTGATTAAAAAATGATTAAAAAGAAAGGAGAAATTTTATTGTTGATCTTGGGATAGTCTTGATTGATGAACACCTGGCCATGTCTAAACTCAAATCTTTTCCTTGAGGATCATAGAAAACAATAAAAAGATTCGTGAAGAATGATGGTTTAAGTGCATCAAAAGAATCTGCAGTATCACAAGAATCTGATCGTCCAAAAAGATGTTGCAAATGTTAACAAAAAATGCTGCAAAAATCAAATTATTTTGTTCTGTATGCCTCCAACCCCAACTCAATGCTTTTAAATATCATTGTAAAACGAAAATTGAAATTATACCGCGAATGTTTCTTTTATAAAAATCGAAATTTATTTTCAAAGAGGAATAGCGACATTTCTAACTTTGAGGATGAGGTATGGAAAGGTGAAACATGAAGAGTAATGGCGAACGGAAAAATAATTTTTTTTTATTTTTCCGTTCGCCATTACTCTTCATGTTTCACCTTTCCATACCTCATCCTCAAAGTTAGAAATGTCGCTATTTCTCTTTGAAAATAAATTTCGATTTTTATAAAAGAAACATTCGCGGTATAATTTCAATTTTCGTTTTACAATCATCAGCCGCGTTATATTGTATTTTAAATATCATTGTAATCATTGTAGAACGACATTTGAAAATATACCGCATGTGTTTCTTTTGAACGAAAACGAAGCTTATTTTAAGGAGAAATAACGATTATTTCTAACCTTATGGATGAGGTATGAAAGGATTAATTATGAAGAGTAAAGATAAACGGAAAAATAAAAGTGTCCAGGGATGGATTCGAGCCCACAGTGTTCCGCTTACCGGGCAGATGCTATGTCCACTAGGCTACCCTGGATATATTTTCCCGTTCTTAAATATTTTTTAAAGTGATTTTTATACAATATAATGCGGCATATGATTGTAGAACGACATTTGAAAATATTCCGCATGTGTTTCTTTTGAACGAGAATTTTTTTATCAATACTCTTCACAATTCATCCTTTCATACTTCATCCCTAAGGTTGGAAATGGTCGTTTATTCTCCTTAAAATAAGTTTCGATTTTCCGTTCAAAAGAAACACATGCGGTATATTTTCAAATGTCGTTCTACAATCATAAGCCGCATTATATTGTATAAAAATCATTGTTATCATTGTAAATAGCTCAACTGGATCAACTTTCTCTCTCAACGATACTAATTATTACAGATAACTTCATTAAATCAACTTCCATCATTGTAAATAAATACCTTGTGGTTTCGTCTATCTGCTTATGTTATTGCTTATTTGTTTAATGTATATGTTTATTCAATGCTCTTTTTCTTAATTGTTTATTTTCTTTTTGATAATTATGTTATCTACTCTACTACAATAGGAATTATTGTAAATAGTTTCACGCGCATTTATCCAGATCGGATATAGCGTGTCTTATTTGCAACTGGTAATAAATAAATTTTAAGTAATTTGTGAAAACTTATGAATTTATTTTACTCAGAACTTTTAACTCAGAATTTTGATTAACATTTTGGTATTTATAAAATAATCTTGAAAGAGGTGGTTTTTGCATTTTATTATTTAGTGTTTATTTCATAAAGCGATCTAAGCAGGTTAGAATAACCCGACCTGTCCAGTAATGTAAATAAAGACAACTGTCCAGTTAAGGCATAATACACCAATTGGCTTTCCCTTTGTTTTATAACAGGTTACCAGAATACCCTTGTACCAGTGAATATTTGGGACTAAATGTTTCGCATTTCTCTAATTTCCCAGAGTTTTCTTAAACGTAAGGATATATCCTTTCCGGCATACAAACTTCAATTATTTTTCTGGAAAGTCCTGTATATAAATATAACAACTATAATTCGTTTTTATTTCCACTCATGGACAAAACTTAAGGAAGTTGTACCTTTTAACATGTATATCGGGATTCAGAAAATAAATCTGAAAGATATTTGATACACAGTGACCTTTATTGAAGATAAGAGATGATCAAGTGCGAACAAAATTGTTTCTATATTCTTAAAAAAAAAAGAGAAAATACTTTCCAATTCCTTAAGTTTTGTCCATAAGTGTCTTTATTGTCCGTTACATATCCCTATCTACAATATATTGCCGCACAAACCGCATTATATTATATCATTACTCTTCACAATTCATCCTTTCATACCTCATCCCTAAGGTTAGAAATAATAGTTATTTCTCCTTAAGATGAATTTTGATTTTTAGTTCAAAATAAACACATGCGGGATAATTTTCAAATGTCGTTTTACACATCCCTTAGCTACAATAATGATAAGACATAGTTAAGGTAGGCTGATTCTTAGTGAAAATGTTCCCAAATAGAATGTAGATCAAAAAGAAATTCTTTTGTGAATGTGGCGCACTGATTATTTTAAAACAATTTCCACAATTCCTACTGCAATGAGAAACTATACCAGTAGTAAACCTGTTGGACTATTCGACTTATACAACGTGAACAATTTACGGATTTCCACGATGAAAAGTATTTGAGAAACTATGGGCATAAGCTTCTGTGATGATAAAACAAGTATTCGTAAAAAGAAATATGTAGTTTAAGATATAATTTTTTCCCTCCCCATTGAATATAACAAAATATTTTAAAAACTTAATTCTGTTGACGTTATGTGGCGCTGAGTTTGTTGTTGACACACATTGAATATGTTATAACACTTTGATAAAGGTTGGTGTTCAGCCAACTGAAATATTGGTAAAGTAAAATAAATGATTTTATGATCCAATATATGCCTTTTTAATTAAGATTTATTTATGGATTGCTCTATTTTTAAAAAGATAGAAAAAGAAAAGATTTTTTAAATTTAAAAAATGATAAATCTATATTAAAGACAAATCCTTATACCGAGAGTAAAAGGAATACGTCTAATTCCATGTCAGGGAGTCCACAAACAATGGGTAGTTTGTGTTGCTAAGAGCCGCTGACATAATTTCTGAATTGGATTGGAATAAGACTTTATTTTAACACAAAGCAACAATGCGCCATCTATACATATAAAATGAAAGGATTTAAAAGCACGAATGTTTCTTTTATACATAGTACAAACTTCTACTGCCCTTACTGCGAT